CTATACAAACAATTATTACCCATACCCTATAGGAATGAACGGGTTACTAGCTTCCAACGGAGCAGAGCACTGCGACCAGATTGAACCTATACCCTATAGTAATATATATATATACAAGCAAATATTATATAATTGCAAGTATATATTTTCATATATCATAATATATTAATAACACTACTGATACTGTTTCGATCGCGTTCGAAACCTCCCATATATCTCAATCTCAATAACAATACAATTCTAATTAATTATGTTTCGCAAAAGTATTGAAACCACGGTATCTGCTTCCTTCTAACGTTTTTCTTTAATTAAATTTTCAAAAATAAGCTGTACCAGTGGATATTTTTGGTTTCCGGGAATGTAAGCAAGATAATCTGTTTTTCGACATTTGATCGTTATAAGAGGATACCAGTTTCAATTGAATCGATATAACACTTTTTTATTTGTAAGGTGATCAATCCACGTATATAGCTTTATTATTCAATAAAATACTAAAGCTTTTACCTGATTATATTATTTAAGACATATTTCCACAAGTTTATTCTTATGTCGACCAAAAAAATTGATAGAAACATACGCAAAGATAGTATGGAAAAATAAAGTATTACATATACTTTAATGAATTAAATAATAAACAATTTAAGTATTACATCATTTTACAGACTTAAAAATATTAATGTTTTATTACAGGTAACTGTTAGCAAACTTATAAAAAATGCGGCAATAGATAAGAAATTATTTAGATATTGTCCGTAACGTAAAACGAGCATATAGACGAATACAAAGTAGATTAGTATATCTAGTTTTTTTACCCTTCACAATATTATGCACAAATATTGTTAAAAGGTTATTAAGATATTAGGAGAGATAATATAAACAATATATACTATATTTGGTAATTAGATTTAATTAAATAGGCCGATTATATTCTTGTTGGATTCTCAGTTTTTAAACTGATCAAATGAAAGTTAGCACTCAAATTTTTTTCGAAGTTTGACAGATCACATGGAGAACACATGGAGAAAAATTGGGTGACTATACCATGTATATATATATATATATATATATATAGTTATTACAAAAAAATAACTATCAAACCAATTTGGGTTAAAGAAAATGAAAATAACACAACCCAAGAATCTGTGTAAAGTAAAATTTTTTTTACTTTAATATTCGAACATCATATGGTCGCGACTAATATAAGACATGAACCCACTTAAACCACTTCTTAGAAATAAATTAATAAGATATTAACCATCTTTTATAAAAGACTTTCTGCAGAAATTGTATTCCAGTAATAAGGGGTTTAATATAAGAGAGACTTTGTAATATTAGTATTTATAGGTTCGCGACAAAAAAATAAAATGATATATAAAATATATTTGCTGTTTAAGAATATTTGTAAGTATCTAATGTTCAAGTACTTTTGTTCGAGATTAACTGTTCAAAAAGCCTTAATGTCTTTTAGTAGTTTGAACACTTCCGAACATTTAATGTAAGCTATCTAAATGCTTGAGCTGCTCTACTTTTGTTCGAGATTTGCTGTTTGATAAGTTAGAATATCAAGTTCTATAATTATTCTTCTATTCTATTCTATAGATATAAGAATAGAAATTGAAAAAAATGTAGAACTGTCTAAGTATCAGCTAACAACAGTAAAATATGAGAATATAAAATAAGAAAAAATAAAGTGATATTTAACAGCATTAAAAAACGAAAGAAGACAAAATTTCTATAAAAAATCTTTCTGTGAATCGTTTAAATATTAAAATATATTATTATACTTTGTATAATGTAGGATTAAAAGTTATATTGATAGTAATAATTTGAGTGTTCAGTCTGAACATTGAAAATTATTTTGGAAATTTAAATATATTTTTTATACCCTTTTCCTTATTATAAAAACGGTTTTATATACTTTAAAAAGTTTAAGTACACTTTAAATAAAATTAATATAGCATAAATATTACAATTTTTTTTTTGTGCTGGACCTAATTACTCATATTTTAATTAATTGAAATGAAAATAATTCGTTTACACTCCCACATCTTATTAATGAATTCAAAATATGGAAATAGGCGTTCTTAATAGATTTGTACCTGCAAATATGAATTCATACATTTTAATGAAGTTTGCATCGACAGTTGTAAGCTTTCAGTTCGTTTCAAGGAAATATCTCTGAGTGTAGCTCTGCGATTATGAATGAATGAATGAATCAGTCCGCAAACAGCTGTGATCTTGTAATACTTTTACTTAATAGTGCACGCGTAGCGACATAATTGTTGTGCATTTTACGGAGACAATGACTAAAAGTGAAATCTTTTCAGAAAACATTAAAGCTTCGAATTTATGTCACACAAAAATGTATTTTTCGCAATTCTCGTCGCGAAGATGAATTATCATTTTAAGTCAACGTATAATGCGGCGGTTTTATGCTAATGGAGAAAAGCGAAAACTTACCAGAGATTTTATGCCCAGCAACTTGAAAACATTTTCATTTTCATCTGGAGTCAGCAGGGAGCTCTGAGCGTTTATCTTTGGACGCTGCTGCGACACCTGACCCTCTTGCGCTTTCATGTTGCTGCTCATTTATGGTTGCGTACTTTTTGAATTAATTATGCTGCTCGCTTGACTTTATCTCAAAATTGCTTCAATATATAAACAAATGTGGAAGCGCAGATATTTATGCATAAACATGTAGCTTGCAGTAGAGCAACGATTTTTATTAAATCAATTTAATAAAATATAACAAAATTTATGTAAGCGAATCAAGTATTGCGGAAGAATAATATACAACCAGCTGCCGTTGAGTCACACAATCCACTTTTAATGCTTAATTATTTATGTTGGTATTTGTGTTAAAAAAAAAAGAAATTCAAAGGGTTGATTTTAAGTTCATAATTATATATATATTTCTATATACATATATTTTTAATAATTTGCAGTCACTGCAGTGTTATTTTTTGCTAATTCTTTAAATTTTGTTTGGGCTGGCAGAAGCATGCAGCACCTGTCCGTCCACTTTTGTCCAAGTGGGGTACTTGTTTGCTTGTATAATTTCAAGGTTTTACACGTCTCAAGATTTTTATTTTACGTTTGTTGGAAAATTGATTTTTCATTGCATTTATAACTTCTTAAATTACACTTAATATTTTTTAGTTGAACAATATATATTTAATGTTATAAATATATTATTTTATGGCTTTGTTTCGTTTCGCAATTTTATTAATTTCTTTGATTCTCGCTAGTTTGTCGCTTTCTTATTTAAATACGCACTAAAATTACCATTCAAATTCTTATAATTTGTTAATTTTTAAATATAAAATTATGTTAAGTTTTTTAACATAAAACGGAAAAAATTTAGCAATACTGCACAATACACACTGACAACGAGAAATAAATTCATATACAGATGGCAAAAATTTTTTGTTCTCTTTTAGTTTTTGACACAACACTTTCAGTGTTGTAAAACGTAAAATAATAAGAAAATATATTAACTATACGTTGATGACATATGCTTGCGTTATGCAACACATACGACGTAACAAATTTTTGTGATATTTTAATTCAAAGTAAGTAATGAATTAATTCAGATATAAAACTATATTCTAAATTTATTTGTGTTTAAATAATTTTTAAATATAATTATACGTTTGAATTATTGAATTAAATTCGAACAATTTTCATTTTAATGTATAAAATAATGGTGATTTAAATACCGCATTTAATAAAAATCACAACTTATGACACCACATCATCAACTATAATAATTTTCAATGGAAGTAGTATTAAATGTGCAATTAATTCAAACGTCACAAACACATTTTTTTATGAGTTTTATATGAAAAAGTGTTGTATAGTAGTCGAGTAAATTGCAATAGTGTAAACATACTGTAAGTCATAACAATTAAAATATAAAATATCGGTATACTACCGCCACAGAATGAAGGAAAAAAACTTAAATGTTATTTTTGCAAAATCAAATAATACGTTATGCTTGTGTCTTTCTTTTTATAGAACTTCTATAGATAAGTGACATGTTTGATCATTTTCGTGATATTACTCAAAGTAGATCGCTTATCGCTTTGGTACTATTGAATTCTATCGTCTCTTAGTTAAATGGAGGCTACTTAACTAGTCAATTAAGTTTGAAAAAAAATTCTGTTTAAATTTATGTATTGAAAAATGAAATAAATATTGAAGGAACAATAATCTCAAATATAACCAACTGAGCACTGGAAAAAATATTTTATTATTATTAATAATGATAAGTATAATTATTTATATTTATAAAGTCAAGTTATGCAGGTAGTCATATGACAAATGGTCACCTACGTTTATTCTTTTTCTGGTCATGGCCATACAGACAATTAAGTTACAATTCTTGATTTCATACTGTTAATACCATTATGATACTTTTTAGTTGTACTTTAACTGAAAACATAAAATTTTTATACTGATAGGCTAAAATTTAAAGTAATTTATTCATTAAAAGCACAAATTTAAAAATTTATTAGTAAACAGTACAGTTTTCATCAATTTACATTATAAACAACAACAATTTCACATATAACGTGAAGGTCTGCATGATATGGACCGACACAATCGAAGAGTTTTTCAAATTAATTTTAGTATTTAATCTTTTAAGTTAAATTAATTAATATTGCAAAGATGTTTAAAAACATTTAGTAGACATATTAATCATAAACAAATATACAAGAAGAGAGAATATATTTAACAAAAGAAAACATATCTGTGCATTAAAAAATGTTTTATAATTTTATTAATTTTATTTTTATATTTTTATTTTATAATTTTATTTTATATTTTATTTGTTATATAAATAATTTTTATAAATTTACCATCATACGAACTATTTAAATTACGTTTAGTAGCGTAAATAGTTACGTGTGTACATATGTGATAAGATGTCAGAAATAGAAAAGGGGTGGCAATATTAACTTCATTTTTATCAGCTGATATTTCATAATTGATGTAAACATATCAATTTATTTATTTTTGTTGACTTATTTTGTAAATATATTATAAATAATACGCCAACATGCGGAAAAGATTTCCTGTGCTCTTTTGAACTTTCCATCCAACAAAAAATATTTGGACTTATGGAGAAAGTACAAAATCCAGAAACATATCTCTCAAGATATCGCTTCTGTTTATATAAAAAATTTCATATAAAAATAAAATAAACATGAAAAGCATTTTCAATATGATATCATAGAAATCGATATAAATTATATCCTGCAAATGGGAAATATATTATGTAGGAGCAGTCTACAGAATGTGAAAATTGATATTGACGCATAGGTAAATAAATACATTAAAATTATTCGAATATCTTACATTACGCTTTTTATTTTACAGATAAATGATTAAACTATCTATCCCAAATGTGTTATAGTCATGTGCCTATTTAAAGGTACATATAACATCTGTAGACTCTGCTTCGAAACTCGGTTAATTTTTTATTTCTCAGTGCGGCTAAAAGCCTTCCACTTATTGGATACCAAAATACAGTGTTAATGTTTTATTTATTGTATATTCTGTTAGTTGTCTTAATATATTTATAAATATATTTACAATATATTTATTTAATATATTTATAAATATATTAATATAATTATAAAAATTTAAACCATAAGATACTCCCTACTGTTATAATGTGATTTGGAAATAATTCATTATTTGCCATTTTTTTCCATTTTCTATATTTGGCTTCCCATTTTTAAAAGTAATTACTAATTCATTTAATTTATCATTTTATTTATTATTATTTGTAGATTATATTCTAATCTTTAAAATAATATACCAAAATATTTAATATTAATTATTATATATACAGTTCTGACCACGTTACTGATATATATGCCCTGAATACCTTTGGGCAACAAAATAATTGCAGCTTATGACGATAAGTGAATAACTTCACTTCATCTTAACAGATGGAAAGAGATGAGCACCTGTAGACACACTAAACTCATGATGCCGAACCCTTAACCAGGGCAGCGATGAAAGTGCTTAGCTATTCGCGGAGCACGCTAAGCTGGCTTACCTCATTAATTACTGGGTATGGAAAGTATAAAGTATTATCTTAAAAAAGATAACTCTTGTTGAGGAAGACACTTGCAGACTATGCCTAGAAGTAAAGGAGTGAGTGGTGCATATATTGTGCCAATGTCCAGCACTGACAAGCATGAGGATGACTGTTTTGATACACTATTCGGTTGGTGATGATTTGGCAGGCAACCTCAACCCAAATGAGCTGTTTGCAATAACAAGAGATGTAGTAATGCGAATGGAAGCGTCTCTAGCTTTAACTCAATAACGACATTCGAGGAAAAGTACGAAAAAGAACCCAAGTCGTTTCGTGGTTTACTTCGGTTAATTCTTCACTTTAATAGGGCCAGATGCTGCCCCAACGTCCCACAATATGTATAAGTATAAGTACAGATATATGTGTATATATAAGAAAAAAATTATAACAAAAAATACAACGCAATAAGATAACATTGTTAAGTAAAAGTTAAAATGAAACCTTTCAATTTCAATTATAAAACTAAATGATGATATGAGAATATTTCACCACCCACCAATGCCTTTCTATTTTTAACAATAATTACAAATCCATTTAATTTCACTTATCAATTACTTTATTTATTATTAATATTAGCTATCCACACCTTAATTTATGTAAAATCATACTTAAATACAAAAAACGTTAATTGCAGCATCACATTCTTGGATTAATTGAGACTCATAAAAGCCGCTTCATGCATTTTGCAAATATGAACATTTAAAAGTGTTACCGCTTTTATGCTAATTTATAGAATTTATTAAGTATTTAATGTATTATATATGAGTATGATAAGTGCATTTTAAGAGAGGCGGACGTGTAACACACGCAATTCATATACATACGAGTATAAGCAACAAATGTTTTTAGTGGCATGAGTTGCAGAAATGTAATGAAACCTGTTTCGGGACTGTTATTAACAGTGCAACACCTGAAAAAGCTTCAACGCACTTGTCAGTGGCTGCTGCGTTGCTTCTCACTTGCGTATTTGTGTGTGGCATTGTCAAGGTTACGAGTATTAAAGTTGCTTAGGCCGCCTCAGAACAGTTACAAATTACATTTTGAAAGACAACTTTTTTGCATTTTTTATTTTTAATGCCAAGTAAAAGGAAAAAGACCGGAACAATGTTGCTAAGCTGAACTTGATGTTGTTTTTCTTTTTGTTTTTGTTTTATTATTGCAGCACTTAAAACAAAAACAACAAAAACGAAAAAGCAATTAAAATGAAAAAATAAGCATAATAAACAAATAAAATCGTATAAAAAATGATTAGCATTAACATGAGCATATATTCACACTAATTTAACACTAATTAATTTATTTACTATTAAATGAATAAGGTATGATAATTTCATGATATTACTTTCTAACTTTTTAATTAAAAATATGCTTTAATTAGACCAAAATTTTTGTTCTTACTTCCTTTTTATATATTCTGTTACTAATTGGCATATAACAGGCGTAATTAATTTTATGCTTTAACAGCATAACAGCATCGTTTGAAAAAAAATTTTTTTTTTTAACATAATCTGTTATTTTCACTCACGATTTGACATTGACATTGAGTTAATAATTGGTGTTGATTAAGTGCAAATGTTAAAATAATTCAAATTGTAATATAAACGCATATAAGGCAGGATTTAGCAATTTCTTAATAATAATTGAATGCTTCTCTGCTGTTTTTTATAAAACAATTAAGAATTTTTAACTCTAAGCCTTAAACGTTTTTAAATTGCATCGCTTCACATAAATTACTCCATCGTAAATGTCGTGCTACTAAAACGTGAATTTAAATTTGGCAAAAACTCAAATTCCCCTCACCTCGAACAATATTGATAAATATTTTGAATTATTTTGCAATGTAAATTATTGTACTTCCGTAAAATTTAAATAATATTAACTCTTTTCACATGCCGTACTTATAGCGATTAATTTAATTTAAGCTAAATAATTACCAAAGAAACTTGTTTGAAAAAATTTTAAATTAAAATTTATTTAAAATTTATCTTAATTGAAATTTGTTATAAAATATATTAAACAAATTTGTTTGAAGATAATGTTGAATTCAATTATTTAAATAAATATTATTATTTAATTACTTTTTTAATATGATTTAAGAAATTTTTTGTAAGAGATTTAAAAACTGTTTTCTTTTTTACAGGTTTATTTTTTTTCTTCGTATTTTTAAAAATTAAAAATACTTTAACACTTTTTATTTACTTTATAACCCTTTTAGTTACCCTTTTACATACAAAATCCGTTACTAAATGGGCGTGCTCCATTCAAAATGTTAGACAGTAAGAAATTTTGAAATTCAACCAATCGTTTTAGCTTCTGAAATGAATACTGTTCGT